TAGTGAAAGAGGGGGTGGGAATCAGGAGAGAGAGAGGAGGAAAAAAGAGAGGCTAAAAGGGAGGCACGGGATGACTGTTACAGCTCAATTAATGGCGGGACATGAGATGGCCCTGCCACTGATAATGACCGAGCGTGAGGAAGAGAGGCAGTGATCTCGACAGGATGTTAGAAGGAAGCTGGAGGAGAGGAAATAAGAGCAGATTCTGTTCAATCTATTCATGATTCATTATTTCTCACTGCAGCTCAAAGCCTCCCCCTCCCTGCCTTGATGTCTCTCTCCGTCTCCCCTTTTTTCTTTCACTGCCCTCATCCATCTTTCTTTCCTTCTCCCTGCGTTACTTTCCTTTGCTTTCATTTTCCACCCCTCATCTGTTCTCTGAGGTCTTCATCCGTCTCTTCTTCGGGCTCCACGCTTCCTGTTTACCCTCTCCTCTTTCATGCGTTCACTTAATCTCCATCCTCTCATGCTTGCTCTCACACTTCTCCCAACATTAGCTCTTCCCGCCATCTCTCACTTTTATTTCCCTTGCACTCTCTCAGCTTGTTCCTCTACTTGTTTTTTCCTCACAGTATCTTCAAAGTGCTCATTTTCTTTAATTATCTTACTTCTAAAACGACCCCCTTCACTTTCCCCTCCTCTCTGCTATTCTACAACCTCTCCTTCTGTGCTCATCCACTCCTCTTGGTATCTCTTTTTCCCATCACGTCTCCTTTTGATGTCCTTTTTTTTAATATCAGTTCCCTCATTTTATATTCTATCACACTCTCGTCCTACCTTCGTCTCCTTTCTATGCTATTTCTGTCAATTTCCGCTCTTCTGTTCCATTTTCTATCTATGATACTGTAAGTTCTCTTTTACTGCCTGCCTCACCGTCTCTCCTGTTAAACCTTTTTACCAGCAATCCTGTTTTTCTCCTCGTTGCTCAAACATACTTTTCCTTTTTATATTCTGCTCTTCTCATCTCCTTGTTCTCTAGTTCCTGACTCAAACCTCTTCTTCATGTATTTCCTTTTTTACTCCCACTGCCCTGATCTCCTTCTGTCACCTCCACCACAAACCCCTTCTACTCCTCTTTCGTTCCTCTTTTTCTCCACGCTATCCCTCCTTGGCCTCCCTCTGTCAACTTCCAAACGTATCCCCCTCCTCCTCCTTCTCCTCCTCCTCCTCCTCCTCCTCCTCCTCCTCTTCCCTCCATGTCTCAGAGGTGCAGCCAGCACCCCAGAACATTTCTGCTTTTCAGTGACAAGAGCTGACAGTCGAACTCTGCCCGGCTTTGTTTCCAGCCTCTTCCTACGTCTACACTGTTGGGTAACACTTTGGTAACTAAAGCTCAACTTCCTCTGCATTATTGCTTGGTGGTGTAGGGTCACATAATATGAAAAGGAAGTGAAGTATCATTATCGACATATAAAACCCTCTTGGAGAGTAATGCAGTGCCACTTTACCTAACACAAATCACAAGAAAACTCCAAGGTCTTCTCTTTAAAAAAGAAATAACATGCCTTTAGTACATTTTTGTAACCTTTTCTGCGTTATTGTTTGGTGGTGTAGGTCAACGAAATGCGAAGCTTTAATTTAATCTGTTCAGAAAGAAAAGGAATTGGACTTACTTAAGAATCATTATCTACGTATAAAACCCTCTTGCAGAACAATGCAGTGCGACTTTATCTTAAGAAAACTCCAAGGTCTTGTCTTTTTAAAGAATGAAAATGGCTTTATTATAACAGCATCTTGAGATGTCTTGTAGGGCTGCACGATTTTGGGAAAAAATCGAATTGTGATTTTTCTGACAAATATTGCGATTGCGATTCGAATTGGGATATTTGTTTTTAAGCGACCCAAAGGAAGTTTATTGTAAAATGCGGCCATCACTCCGGCTAGGAAGGTCGTATCAACGTACTCCCGTCTCTAGCACCCCCGCAGCCCGAGCTACGAGTGAAAGAACTACACTTACATGAAACTTCCGTTGGGTTACTTTAAAGTCAAGCTTCAGTTTAAGATTCACCCTGTAATAGAAACATGTGATGGAGCATTACTAACCTGACCCAGAAACCATCTAGGAAAGCTCCTTTGGAAGCCATTTGGAAAGGGCAGGCACTTTCAAAAATACTTGGCAGGTAATTGGATCAATCTGTCTATACCTTCTATCATGGGCCACTTCTGATTGATTAACAATGGCTGGTACATGTGGAGCACAGCACTTCTGATTGGTGTGGATGACTGACACACAAGAAGAAAAATAAATAAATTGTTAAAAAAATCGCAGGCTTTGCGATTTGATAATCGCATCATTTCAAATCGCGATTTCCATTTAAAATCGATTAATCGTTCAGCCCTAATGTCTTGAAATGTGTGTGTCTACTTATATCCTTATCCAAAGAACACCTTATCAAATGTATGTATATATGAGTCAAGGTAAACCTTCTACACAAACATGTCTTGCCATTTCATGTTAGTGTCATCTTGCATCATGCTTTACTTCAATGCTTGATCAGTCAGTACTGTAGTCAGGACTAAGTATGTACACTGCACTACACGTATTTGGACAGAAACCCACTGTTTGATGTCTCTATGCTATAATTCCCTTGATCATAAAATGACAAAATGATTATGAGTTTAAAGTGCGGAGGCTTTCATTTGAGGGCGTTTTTAGAGAACAGTTCAAACAATGAGCTGCTTTTCTAAATGCATTACGCTGGGCATGCTGGGAGTTCTTTGTAAAATGTGGAAAAAATAAATCCCCTCTTGTCTTTTTTAACAGTGCCTGAATCCACCGCAGAGTTAGCATGACAGTAAGACAGATTAAGAGAGGGGGAGACGCAGACAGTCACCTTAAAGGAAGACGCCATTCAGCTGGGTAATGACTCTGCCTATCTGCATGGATCTGACACGAACACAGCAGAACAGATCTCATGTCTGCCATCCATCTGTCTGTCTTTCTGTCTGTCTGGACATTTATCTGCATGTCTGCAATTTGACTGTCTCCCTTTTTTCTGCAGCGTGATGATCCAGACAGCAAATTAGCAGCAAGTGGTGTGAAAACTGACAAGCTTTCAGCGACTCCTGAGAGCACACGCTGCTCATCACACACACGTCTTCTTCTCTCAAGAATACCGGATCACTTTGAGGATGAAGGGTAATAATAATAATCACACTGACCTTGTTCTATCTCTTTATACCGGGGATTTGGGCTTTACATTGTTAAGAAAAAACACTTTCTTTTGCTTTGAATCTGGGTTTGACCCAAAGCTTTGGAAAAGGTGCTCCTTAAGTCCACTTGCTTATCAATTCCTGGATGGCTTTGGGAACATGATTATGATATTTGACCCCTCAAACAAATGTGCCAAAATTGCCTGTTTAACATAACTTTAGACTTATATATTAAACAGTCTTTTTCCTCAGGATTAATGGGTTTCTGACTGTTGGAAAGTGGTCAAAACCTCCAAACAACTGTATCTGAGCTATGTAATTTAACTAAAAGCTTCTTTATATTGGATTAAATAACATTAACAAGTAGGTTTTTTTGCATTTTTGAGTTGTTTAAATTCACTTAGTTAAAAACTGTTTTAACTGCAACCTTGCAATTATGCAGTTTTGTTAACACACGTATCTTAGGCTTTTCTATATGATATTTTCTTCATATCTAATGTCATCAATGTTTGGTTTTACTTCCATTTTCTGAGCCTCCCCTTGGGCTGTTTGAAGCCCCCCTGGTGAGGACCACCCACCAAAACGCTGCTGTAGATAAAAGCGAAGTCACAATCTAGTGTCACTTCACCTCAAGTCTGTCGACACACTTGTCAAGCCTATAGTTACTGTGAGCCATGTACATATTCAAATTACATGTTTTGTTTACAGGGGAATTTAAGAGCCTGCTTAATTTAGCCAAGAATACACTGAGAAACCAGAACAATTGTATGACATAAAACTTGCTGTGAGCTTAGTTTGGACTCAATTGATAGGTTGTGCGTCTGATCGAAGCCTCTGCAGTTAATACAGGCCATTTACCATTTAGCATAACGCAAGAGAACAACTCTGCTCTAAATACATCAGAGTCTTTAGATAAAGTTGAAATTACAGTTGTCTTTGCCACTAATTCTGTCAAACACACATTTTCCATTGCTAATGTTTCTGTCTTTAAAAGCCATCTTAGTAGTAAATGAATACCCAAAGTCTCACATCAGCCGCTAGCACTTATTAGTTTCAAAATAGCCGAGTGAAACGCTGTCCTCACAATATCATTACTGTACAGGAAGCGCACTCTGCTGCTTCATGCCTCTGTATAAAAGATAATAATACATTTTATTTATATAGCGCTTTTCACAACTCAAAGACGCTTTACAGTATGAGGGAGGGTAGACAAACAAGGACAGGCAAACAAATAAATATAGTAAAAAGAGAGAGACACGAAGAGGTAAACGACGGGTTTGCAGTGACCCCCTACAAAACCTAATAAAATCAGTCATTCAGAAATCAGTGTTGAAACCACTTGTTGCTGAATCATTATTAAACAAGTAAAAGAGAGAAAAAACTCTTGGTGCTAAGTTACTTTAGTTACAAAGATGAGTCTCTACGTTTTCCCGACTCATCCTTAATACACAGAATTGTAAGAATAAAGAAAGCACTAAGAAACAATAACAATCTAAACTCCAAAAGACATGACTTATTGTGTAGTTTTTGTGGAAATATACAGGTTTTTTTCCGTTTACCCCTACTATGGTACATGTTTGCCATTCATTTGTCCACCTTTTTTACATTTATGGAGGCCGTTAAGTCCTAACACAAAATAATAACGAGGACAGGTTCACGAAAATATAGTAAAAAAGCCACCCACACAAAATGACACACTGGCAAACAATGTTTGTGTGGGTAAAATAACAGTCACTTCATAACGCCTACTCAAAAAATTCAGCTTCTACGCAGAAAGTGAGACGCACAAACTCACAACAAGCAGTGAGTGAAGACTGAGAAAAACTCCCAAAAACGTTCTCTCTTACCTGTTTGTGCATCTCGATGTTGAGACCGTAGGACATCTCGTAGTACTGTGGAGACAAAGAGATGACAGAGCTTCGTTAGCTTTTATACACAGCGCACGTTAACACTCAGTCTTACACTATATCTGCCATTAAACAGCTGTTGCTTAGTGTAGCTGCATGTGCTGCTTTTTGTCAGCGTGGATTTGATGAAAGCAAGAAAAGAGAGTGAGAAGATCGAAGACAGAGAGAGAGGGAAAGAAAGTGTGTGTGTGTGTGTCGAAAGTAAAAACACATTTGTGTGTGTCTATGTATAGATAATGAGGTATTTATGTCTCTGTGTCAGTTTTGTGCGATTACTGTCTCTGCAGGTTTTTGTTCTTGCACTGCTGCCAAATGAGCATGTGTGTGTGTGTGTGTGTGTGTGTGCACGTGTGTGCGTGTGCGTGTGTGTGTGTGTGTGTGTGTGTGTGTATGTGCATGTGCGTGTGTGTGTGTGTGTGTGTGTGTGTGTGTGGGTGTGTGTGTGTGTGTGTGTGTGCGTGTGTGTGTGTGTGTGTGTGTGTGTGTGTGTGTGTGGTGTGTGTGTGTGTGTGTGAAAAACTCATGTGCAGTGCTTATCAGAATAATTAGACTCAGTGAATGCTTGCTGAGTTCACATATGAGTTGTGTGTGATAGTGTGTGTGTGATAGTGTGTGTGTGTGTGTGTGTGTGTGTGTGTGTGTGTCTATAGTATGAGTCTACCATTTTTCAGGCCCCTCAACATCTTGAGGTGGTCTGACCCACAATGTAATGACATCCAGATGTAAATACAGTGAACATAATGCTGACAGATATTTCAAGTACTGTGAAAAGAAACCCGGATCTATTTACAGCCAATTTGACCAAGAGTGCAAATTCCAGTTATCCCGTCATTATTGTATTAAAAACAATAAATGGATGCTTCAGTAAAATAATCACCCAATAAGTTTAAAGGCCATTTGATTCAGCCTTATCCTGCTTCCATGTCACCCAGACTCACAGGTAAGACAACACATCCATCAGCAAAGAAAAGATCCATACAGCAAAACCTACAGATGCCCCAAAACCAATACTGACATCTGTCTGATAGAGACTCTAATATCTGGATCTGTTGTAATAAAAAACAGTCCAGTTAATTTGTTACTTTGAGCTCATATTTTGAAAGATGTTTACAAAGTTAGGAAAGCAATGTTTATGTTGCCTTACACATAAGACAATGATTTAATTAAACACTGCTATCGGCGGATATCCAAAGCCCAGGCATCGGGACACAGATTCATAATGTGCAAAATTGAAAACTAACTAATCTAGAAAAATGGTTATAAGAAGGACCAGGTGTTAATGCAAACACCTGTGATCAGATGTTGCTATTGAGACTTATCAATTTAATAAGTTAAATTTCTGCTGCTTTTGTTTACTTTTCGTCTCGCAGCACCGATGTACAGGTGTCCTGACTTCACTGCTCTGTGTGGTTAAAGATGCAACAAATCATTTTTCTGTCAGAGGTGAAACAGTCCTGAACTAGGGCTGCACGATTTGGGGAAATAATCTAATTGCGATTTTTCTGACAGAGATTGCGATTCGAATTGCGATATTTGTTTTTAAGCGACCCAACGGAAGTTTATTGTAAAATGCGGCCATATCTCCGGCTAGGAAGGTCGTATCAACGTGCTCCCGTCTCTAGCACCCCCGCAGCCCGAGCTACGAGTGAAAGAACTAAAGTTACATGAAACTTCCGTTGGGTTGCTTTAAAGTCAAGCTTCAGTTTAAGAGTCACCCTGTCATAGAAACATGTGATGGAGCATTACTAACCTGACCCAGATGGTTTGTTTCACCAAACCATCTAAAGCTCCTTTGGAAGCCATTTGGAAAGGGCAGGCACTTTCAGAAATACTTGGCAGGTGATTGGATCAATCTGTCTATCACCTTCTATCATGGGCCACTTCTGATTGGTTAACAAAGACTATGTGGAGCACAGCACTTCTGATTGGTGTGGATGACTGACACACAAGCAAAAAAAACAACGCAGGCTTTGCGATTTGATAATTGCGTCATTTAAAATCGCGATTTTGATTTAAAATCGATTAATCGTTCAGCTCTAGCCTGAACATTTAACGAGAGAAGGCAGTGAAACTCTACCTTTAAGCGTAAGTATTGAGGTGCTTTTTAAGCAAAAATGGCAGCCGATCCTGGAGTCCAAGTGGATGTTTGATAAAAATTTGAAGAACAATACTCCAGGCGTTCCTGAGATATCATGTTCTAATCCAGATAACGTTTGCAGAACATAGAGTAGGATCAATAGCACAACATATCTATTTATTTATCTATTTAGATTTGTGTATCTCTGTGTGTATATTTCACACCAAACACCCCTGTATGTGTGTTTGCTAAATGTCTCGTTGTGCTACCACCTCTACACGTGTGTGTGCACTTGTTAAATGTGTTGTTCCCGCTCCGCTGTGTGTGTTTCTGTGTGTGTGTACATCAGTAATGTGCTGTAATGGTGTTGGTGGCGAGCGTCGTGCAGACAGCGAGGATCCGTCACCGTGACAAAGGCAGCAGCCGCCGCCGGATGAGCAGCTCTGACTGATGAGCGCGAGACTCCACTCTCTCTTTCTCTCTGTATTCTCCTGCTCATTTTCACTTCATCGCTCTCCTCTCTTCTTCTCTCCATTTATTCCTCACCTCATTCAGTCCCTTCCTCTCTCTCCTCTCTATCTTTCAGAGGCTGTCAGGTCCTCTTTCCCATCACCCCCCCCGCCCCCCTAGTTTTTCCCCTTCTTCTTTTTCTGGCTGTCAGATGTTCTTTCTCTCTCCATTTTGTCTCATTTTACTCTCTTTGTCAGTCTCTATCCTTGTACGTACCAATCTATAAAATTCAAATTCACTTTATTCTCATGAACTTAATTGAGTACAGAACTGCCAGATCACAAAGTGCAAGGTTTACACTATATGCGTAAAAATACTTTAAAAACAAATACTTAAAAAGAGCCCCATTCTACTTTTGGGGGTTTTACCTTTCCTGTAGTGTGTTATAGGTTTTAGTGCATGTAAATGGTCTGCAAAGGTCAAATTCCCAAACCTCCCTCAGACAGAGTTTCTCTCCCACACACTCCCCCCCCCTGCCTGAAATGCCTCCATTTGACCCCTTTGTTTACTTCTTGAACATAGTGACATCACGATGTAACACTCGCGCTTCAATTGGCCAGCGCTCCAACACATTGTACGTCACATCTCTAAGCAGTTGACCAATCACAACAGAGTCGGTCAGCTAACCAATCAGAGCAGACTGGGCTTTGGTTTCAGACAGAGGGTGAAAAGAGGTGCTGCAGCACAGACAGTATGAGAACAATAAAGAGCTTTTTGAACATTAAAGCATGGAGACATGTCACAGTAGAGACACTTTAATGTCCTCTTTAATACACTATGTAATGTTATAAACAAAATTCACACGCATAACTATATACTATGTGATTACAATGAAAGACAATCTTATAAGTGCAGAGTAATCATAAAAAATGATCATTCTGTAGAAGAGGAAGAATTGACTCAGAATATAGTGGAGAGAACTATAACAGTAAAAAGAGGCAGATATTTTTGCTACGGTTCCATGTGTTGTTTCCCCTGAGGCTGTGACATGCTCAGACATATGCTTCTGTTTCAGTGGCAATGCCCAAACCTCCCTGTCGACTGTCAGAGCATGAGAACAATGTCTTTCCTCGGAGGAGGCGAATAAGACGTGGTGTTGCCCTGGCCAGCTTCGCATTAAAAATATTTCAGTTGCAGTGCCTTGGTGGCCAAATGACACCAAACCGCAACATCCAGTGTTCAATTCAAGCTGAAGGATGTGCCCCTCTCCCTGTCACCAGTCTGCCACTCCACTCTATATATTGTGTCCGTAGAGTTTTCAAACACACTTTATTTCCCTGACTCGATGTCACTTGAACAAGCAGCAGGGTTCTCCCTTTTGTTTTGGCACTATGGCCCGACTCCAGAGAACAGAGGGTCCTTCTTAGGTTCGATTCCCACTTTAAAATTAATAAATGAAACTCAGATGAATGCGATATGCTTTTTCAGCCAAAAGAGATTGTGTGTGTGCAGCAAAGGAGATAAGAGACACTAGGAAATGACAACCAAACACAGCTAAGAGACTCTCATACTAATAGGAAATAAAACCAGTGCACATTAAATAGGTAAATAAAACATTCTTTCTGTGAGACAGTAAGGCAAACACTGTATATAATAAGTACATATAAATCCCAAATAGCCCATGAAATCAAGAATATAAATCTAATATTGTTCATTAAACATTTGTTGTGTGTGCGTGTATGTGTGCAGGGCCGGCCCTAGACTTTTGGGGGCCCAAAGCGAGCTTTGGCTTGGGGGCCCCCCTCACTCTAGCGCGTTCTCACTACACACAACACAGAACCAACTTTTGTCTTATGTTAGCATAAGCACACATATTGTATAAATAAGCATGTAAACACCGTGGACCTAACCTCATCTAGGGGGGTCCTCACCCTCTCTAGGGGGGTCCGGGGGCATGTTCCCCCGGGAAGATTTTTTTTTTAAATATTTAAGTTAAAAGCATCACTCTGGTGCACTTTGAGATCAAAATTAAGAGATCTATGGATACCTCTCTCAACACCCATATGAAACAGAACTGTAAGCAGATTTTTCTTTATGGATATTTTACAAATCACTTAAACTGTATTCTTGTTTTGTCATATAGTATTTCATAACTGTTTTTCATTTATTCTCTCTGGCTGTCCATCTCATAATGTTCACATAGAAACTAGCTGTCAATAGGAATATCATTCAGAAGAATTATAATTTCTTGCAAAAATCTGTCACAAAAAGAGGTTGCACATTTGAATTCAGGTGTTGTTATGGCAACGTCAGTGGCCAAACAGCCACATTTACTGCTGCAAATACTTTCAAACATGCTGTCGACACGTAAAGCAGTGGCAACTATGCCACCATTTCAGCTGACTTTTTCTCAGAAATACTGTCACATAACATCCATATATTTCAGTGCTAGGTTGAT